CTGTTAAATAGAGATTATGGTCCATTTCTTGCTTATCTTCAAGGACTAATGTGAGAGAAATCCTTTGCTAATGCAGCATGGGGGCAGCATGGCAGAGTGGATTAGAACATGGACTTTGACAGCAAAAATACTTGGGTACAAAACCTGGCTACAGTGTTGTGATTTCTGTGACTTTAATAAGTATTCACCCTCTGTATTGCTTGAAAAGGGATAATATCCATACGTACATAAGAGAATCGTAGGAGTAAATTAAATAATGTATATACAATGCTTAGCACAGTGCTTGGTATGTAATATGGGCTCAGTCAATTTTATCTTTTTTATTGTCATGGTAAATGTGTACAAAGAATTATAGTAACCTGGCACATAAAATTAGGATAGCATTACCTTTCAAGTACCATAAACCCTTAGCAAATGATTGACTTAAAGTTATATGGTATTTGCTATTTTAGACCCAGTAGGAATCCAGAGTCAGGGACTTCAGAAGAGCTCTGAAACAGGGTCATTGTCTATGATAACCACAAAACCCAAGGGAAAGACTGTCAATAATAGATCCAAAGTACAAAGTGGTAGAACCAGGAGTTGTGAACAAAATACATATGTATATTCACAAGCTGTGTCCCAAGTTCAAATAATTATCCTGCAACAATTTGGAATCAGCTCCAGAGATCGCCACTTCCACAGACTGGATAGAGACCCTGAGCGGCCCATGTGTATCAGATACTGTGGTGTGTTTCTTGACACAAATCCTGGCCCTGCCCTTCTGAGGCCCACAATAATTGAAGAAGACTGATGTAGAACAAGCAAGTACAAAGAACTGGGGGTAGAAAAGATGAGATTGCACCTTTAACAAGCTTTCTTCTGGATGTTGTAGCCCACATGCAGCAACTGTCCCAGAGTCAGAGTTCCCCTGGCCCATTCCAAACTCAGGGCAGCATCAGGCTGAGGAAGAACCATGGTATAGAAAGTTGGTGTTCCCCATGGAACCTATGGTATTATTTCCAACAGGCTGCCTCAGATGAGCTCTAGTCTGGATCACAATTCCCTCCTAGGAAGTAAGTCAGCCTGACTGCATCCCAGGTCAGAAACAAATGCTTAATATTTTAGGTGGAAATCTGAGGTGTGACAGGATGACACATGTATCACACACTGTCAGTTTGTTCATTTCCTGGAACTGCCATGCATGGTGAAATTTTCTCAAGTTAATTTTAATTTTTAGACACCATCTACCGGAACCTGTGTGACAGTGCCTTTAGTATAACTGTATGAATGGAGGATTTCAAGTTCTTTGAAATGAAGATTAGTACCTGAAGACTACAAATTAAACTCCTTTAAAAGTAATTCAAGTCAAAAATCTCACTTCAGAAAATCGAAGAATCAGCATTTCTATAAAACCAAGCTTCTTGGAAATGATTTCTGGTTTCACCTGAATAACATGGGTCATGGGGGTCTCAGTCTTGATCCTCTTTTTTCTGAAAAGATGGTTCAGTGGTCTGTCCATCAGGTTCCTTTGGGTGGAAATTTGAGGAATGGGGGAGATAGGTAAGGTGCAGCCCTGGGGCCAGTCAGGATGGCAGAAGCCAACAAACAGAAAGAGGAGGTAAAAGAAGTTTTTGTATGACCCTCCAAAATATTGGAATGAATGACAGTTGTGAGGTTTGGGTCAGCCCTGCTAGTTCAGAAAGGGGCTGTTCCAGCCAAAGCCAGGACAATACCTGACCTAGAGGAGTCCTCCATCCTCCACCTTAGCTAATTTGTCCCAGGGAGTGCAATGAGAGGGAAGCAACTTGACTCCCAAGAGAATAGACTGCTTGAGCTGCCAGCATGACAGCAGGAGTGTGTCTTGGCTCCAGAGATCCTTTTCACTTCCTTTTGCTACTGTCCTCTCTGAAACTTGTGCTCCCTTCCCTCCTTCAAATTTTTGGTGGAGGAAGCATGATTTAGACTCAGCATGCCTGCCCAGGTATCTGAGAGCAATGTTGTGTTCTAAGGCTCCTGCTGCCATCAGAACCAGGAATGGGCAAGAGGAGGAGGAAGGGATTAAGGAAGACAAACCTGTTCCCTTGCCCCACAGCTGATGCTCAGGGAGTTTGTGCAGGGTTTGGCTGGCTGGCTGGCATCAGAGTCAGGTGTGTCCCTTCCATCTTGCCTCTCAGTCTCTTCCCTGTTGGAGGAGGGTGACTGGCTTGGTGGGGGAGTTGGGGGAGGGAGCTCCTTCCATGCAGCCCAGACTTCCCACTTGGTTTTGATCTCAGGAAGGGAATGCCTCTGCCCCTCTTTGAAGCAGCAGCCAGCACCACTTGTCTCTTCTCTCCTTCCCGCAGGCACTTCTGTTCAGAGTGCTGCCTCTTGCTGGCTCCTTCTGTTTCTGCTAGGTCCTCCTGCTGACTGGGAAGAAAGTGCACCAATGGGGTGATGGGGGTCTGAAACTCTTAAAGGAGAAGCTTTTTTTTCTGTTGAAAATCTATGTACCTGGCATATTTCCCTTAATAAAACCCCCAAAGGAAAGCAAACCAGTGTAAAATGACCATAATCACCATTTAAATGTTAATTGTAGCTGTTCTGGTTTTCCTGGAGGATTTTTCAAGCAGATCAAGCATTGGCTGTGGTGGCAATCATTAGTAGCAATCAAATCCAATTCATTTACAGAGAGCATAAAGTTTGAGGGCCACGGATCTGAGTGAGATATTCCCTGTCACCTTAAGGGCTCACAATTTGGGGCTGAAGACAAACAAGACATGAAGATCATTTTCAAAATTCTAGCACCATTTTTGCTGATAACTCTTGTAGCAGTCTTTGACTAGAAGTGTTTACAAGTAGGCATATTGACAAGTAAATTTGAGATGTAGTCTCCCCTTGGCTGCCCATTGGTTGATTTTTGTCAATCAACTAGTGCCTGTGTAAGACTTGGCCCCATGTAAAATAAAAAGATACCACAGCAAATCCCCATTGGATGCTGGAGTTGCAAGATTTTAGAGTCTTGTTTCTGTATGTTAATGATGTGTTTTTCCCCTTACAAAGAATATGAAAGAGACTAAGTCCCGAGCCCCTTCTGGGCTCAAATCCTCAATTCTTTTACCACTGGAGCCATGACACTTTCTATGGGGTCTAGCCCTGAAGGCTTCCCAGGTTCTAGGTTCCAATGTGAGTTCCTCCTCCAGGGGAAAATTTCAGATCTTAAGCAAATTACCCAGTAGGGTGTCAGTTTATTCTGGGGGGGGGGAGAAAGAAAGAAAAAAGAAACGAAAGCTAGTTGAATGATTTTAAGAACATGAGATAATATTAGAGAAACTTATTCAAATAAAAAGGAGCCAGATGGCTGTTACATGAAGTATCTAGTTTCATGGATGGGGAAACTGAGGCCCAGAGAAGGGAGTTGCCCCAACCACAGGAAGAGTCACTGACATTGTTGTGTCACTGCTCAGTTTGCTGCCCTGCCTAAGAGTTCTAGCCTTAGGATTTTCTCAATGTGCCAATATTATTCCTTCTGTGTTAAGAAAGAAAGAAACCAGATCAGATGACAGGGACTCCAAAATGCTTAAGCTTCTGGAATGTCAGAAGTGGTCCTTGCCCTTCCTGCACCCAATTCTCCTAAGAGGGCAAGGAGACTTCCATTGAAGAATTGAGTAACGGGATTCACCCCTTCCTGAACTAGAAGTAGAGGATGAGGGGAGCAAAGGGTCTGTTAAGCCTTGTACGTGTAGAGAGACAGATTCTCAAGCCAGAAGGGAGACAGACAGCCGGTGCGTGGGATACTGGGCACACACCCAGCGGTTTTCCCTTTCCCAGGGAAGGAAAGTGCAGGAGGCTTTTGCCCAAGGCATATTGTGGCTGTTCCAGGAAGGTAACAGTGGAACCCATTTTACCCTGACCTTATCCCAAACCCAAGGACCACTCAAGGGCCATCATTTGATAACGACTGTAGCTTACTGATTCCAGGGTCCATAGCTTGCTGACCTACTGGGTGGGCACCAGCCCCTTAGCCCAGCAGGACTCTGCGGCATGCCCTCAGGCTGAGATGCATGAGGCCGCAGGGACGGTGAAGGTGACCGCCTTCTCCTTCTCATTCTTGGACACTCGCGCTCTGTGCTGCGGACCCTAGGGGAGCTCAGGACGCAAAAGTTTGCTGCTGTGCTCAGGGGCCTGAGGAGCATCTCTGGGAAGGGATTGTGCCCTGACGGCTGGGCCAGAGTCTACCCTCATTCCTGTGTCAGTTTATGTCCTCTTTCCTGGTTGCAAACACTAACTCCCAGTGACGGGGCTTCAGCGAGGTGGTCCCATTCCCAGCCCCTAGTCCTGGCCCCACCAGACCTCCTCTTACATCCCCACAACGGCTTGTAGGTCCCGGGCTCGATCGGGGTTCTCAGTACTACCTCCACTCCTGCCAGCTG